GGATTTCATTTAAATGATGTCAAAACACATAGAGTCGTTCATAAACTTTCACTACAAAACAGTATTGCGTACTACTCAAACAAGTTGTATATCAAAATTCAAAATATAAAAACCTTTTTTTTATATATATTCTTTTATTGATATGTTAACGTTGCATTTTACTAGCATGTATATGTAAGTTCTTGTACTTTTCACTGGTAAAGATTAGTTATATAAACTATACTTCGAAATTCAAATATCTTTTTTAAAACTTTTAATATAACAAAAAGTTTGACGGTCTGGTTTTATATTAGCAGTAGCCTTTTAGTGATAGCAAACATAATCTGTAAAAATACTATATGTTACTGTTTTTGATTGTGCAACTTTTCTTAACTCTGGAAAATAACAGCATGTCAAATTTTAAAGATACATTCAATATAATTGGCGTTCAAATATTTTCGCTTGCATGTCCTTGATGATGAAGTTAAGGTTATTCCAGATCTGCGCTGCGGTTCACTGGAATAATACGTATCGTGTTGAGTTAATAACATGGTGAACAATTTAGTTAAAATTAGTTTCAGTGCTATGACATATGATACAGGATAGAATTGTGGTTAACTTGATCTCGGATGTACCTGCCACGTATACTTACTGGACTCGGACTCATAAACTCAAACTGTTGATGCAGTTGCTGATCTACTTAGAACCCTCGGCTACCGAAGCCTCCTTATAATGAAAAAGTTCTTACCACCAAACCTTCTACAGTACAAATTGACCTTTTAAAAAATTGAAATGAGATATATTCAACCAGCGGTTTCATTCATACATGTATTGTCAAGATCTACTGCAAACTACTTAATCGTATGTGTTTGGTTTAACAATATAAATGAGAAAACCAACGGTCAAATCTTAATACAAAACACCTTACCTTGAATATAAGAACATCCTGTTTGAGAGAATTCGACTCATCCACTGTCATCAGATTGACAACTATCAAAATACAGAAGACAAAAGTACTGATCTAAGAGTACTCGCGGTTTCTAAAACTAACAATTAATGGATACATCATGTTTCCTAAGACTTACATATTAAACACTGCATTTCAAACGGATTAGATGTGAATAATGCATAATCAGGAAAAGTATGAATTGTCATAATATAAATACCTACGGAATATATTATGATGCGTTTTAATGACTACTCAGAAAAACATTGTCATGTTTTGCTTTATTGAGAACTTAACTAGTATTACTACTGATAAAGATAATCTTCAAACATTTTACGGCAGGTTTTGATAACCTTTAAGAATGAGTTCATTTAAAGGGTCATTACGTTTATATGGATCGTAATTAAATAAATGATATCACTGTAAAAATAAGAATGTGTCATCCTGCATGTTGTAAGTTTACTAAGGGTACAGCTCATTTTAGTAAGCATTGTGTGTTCATATACATTATCATTGAGATATATTTCATATGTCAATAACTTAGTTAATTGAAAATGCTCATAAATATAGGATCCTTTACCAGTAAAACATATATCACGTCCTGTTAAAAGAAATGACATGTTAGTATGTTTCACGAGCACTACATTTTCATATGAACAAACCAACTCATACTCAACTGAACAATAATCAAACGATTTCTTTCTTTTTTTTAAGAAAAGTGCTTATATATTTAACACAGATAACAAAATTTTGATAGCAAACGCGTTTTAATACAACATCAAACACAAACGCCGTTTGGTGACATGTAAATGTTTTACACTTGAGTACTTTGATCTTTCAAACTACATCTCTTGAATAATATTTTTTTAAGTACGGAATTTGCAAATGCTTTAAGACACATTGTATAATCTATTTGTCAATTTACATAGACACTGACACTGGTTTCATATTCTAACAGCAAAAATGATTATACAATATTGTCCCGAACTGAGGGAAATTGGTTGGCATATTCTATTAGGTATATGTTTTGTTTCTAGTTTCTAGTTTAAGTACAATAAGTCTGTTGTAAATATCTCAAATATATCTGTATTTCTTCTTTCTGAACCAATACTCTTTGCATGACATTGTGAGTTTTTAAGTAAGATTTCAAAGGCTATCTTTACACGTAAAACGGGTGATAAAATTTCGCTATTATTCATTATTATACCTGACCTTAAAATGTCCATTTTGTATTGGTCATTACGATTGTTTGACTGATGGTGTTTAACGCCACTTTCAAAACGCTTTGGTATATCAAATTATCAAATATTATAAGATTGGGAAACCGACGTACTGAAGAGAACGCCCGAATTTCGGCATGACAACTAGCAATCATAATCAATCATGATTGGAGACGTTCTACTCTAGTATATGTTTCATCAGGTAATCTCTTGTGGAAGGCTATAAATCTTGATTATTGAAAACACAATAATTGTAAAGTATCATGAAATCTTTTAATTTGTAATCAACAATTTAGAAGACATTTTTTTAATAACAGAAAATGTTTAGTATAATAAATTAGAAACACATATCTCAGTGATTGATAGAGCAAATTGTTACCCTTTAATACTTGTCAACCATTGTTTCGCCTCGATTGATAAATGTTTATCATGAATAATTTAAAAAAGCCTTTGTAAAATGAGCGTGACACATGAATTTTCCGTAAAATGTTAAATACTCGGAATTCATTATGATATTTAAATAACTGACCGAATAAAAATAAAAGTATGGAAACCTATTGTTGCCACGAACAGTAATTTGTCATAATACATGTAATATTGACTAAAATGGTAACAGGGACGGTAGATAATGTCGATATAAATACATTATAGTTGTTGATTTGACAAAAATATAACATATAACGTATACAATACGAAATTGAATTCGAACGACTTAAATTATCTAGCCGCTCTAACTTCTAAGTCATAAAAATGTACATAGATTGAACTGAGACTATCAAAGATCTTTGATTGCCAGCTCAATCAGAGCTGCATAAAAGTATCTAAGTAAACACAACACAGATATTTCAACACGTATTAAAGTATGTACTAAGTTACTGCATGTACGTTCAATGTGCCATAAATCGTAGTTCACCCTGGCCTCATATCGCTACTGACCTGCTAAGTTGATTACGTGCAGCAAAATTATAAGACTTTAAGAATTTGTAAATTATTCCAATACAGAATTACAAACAAAATATTTCAATATTCTTACTTTAAACTTCTCACCTAGGAATTACAGTTTATCAAAACGAAAATAGAAGAAACAAAATCAAACTTAACGAAATCATTTCATCTTACATAGTAATCTGTTCAGCCTAAAATAAGATTCCTCAACTTACCAGGAAAGTTATAACAATATATACCATAAATTTTACCATAAAAGCACTGCGATAATTACCATTCTTTGTCTTTGATAATTGCCACAGGTTGAGTCGTTCATTATGTAAAGATACACATGGCTTCATTGGTTTCAACATAACATTTTAAACAACTACGAAATGTCTGTTTGGTTATTGTATTTCTTTTTACTTTAACATACGTGTACATGTAAAATGTGGTATTATTGAGAAATTTTTATTTTTTATTTATTGCATATCGTTATAAAGATGTGTACGTGTGGTCTTATTTCCATATGTTGCTATTTTTTATACCTATAGAGGTAAATATAGGCATCAGCAGTTTACCAATGTTCAAATCTCATAAATCTCATAAAATAAGTAGACTAGTACAAGTAAACACACTTGATGGAATTGCCTAAAGGACAGAGAAATGGTACGTAGACATGGTAAGAGTTTCCTGCTAAGCATGCATCATCCGACATGCGAATCAACAATTAATCAAAATGTCATAATCGGCAATATGACACAATTGGCACACAATTGAGTAGACAACTTTTCTAGTATCTAAAAATCTAAAACGGCAAAAAAATGTCGTAAGAGATACATCAGATCAGTCAACCAATTCGTGATATGGACAGTTAAGTTTATGCAGTGTCGATTTCCATCGTTCTTCGATATAATTCTGTTGGATCAGTTTTCGTATAAGAGACATATCCCTGCTAATGACGTCTGTAAAGCATGAACATGCAAGGGCGTAAATCATCAGTTGAGATATCGTAACGCCATACAATGATACAGAGGGGATGATTCTGCTGAGAAATGTGAAATTGACGATTGGAAAGGTACAATTATCACGTTTCTCATAGATTCTAGCTTGAACTCACCAGTATTAGTATCGAATAGAATATATGAAGCAGCACTTCTAGTTTTTGTAGTACCCTAAATATCAATTAAGGTCAATGGGATAAAACAAGTAAACAAATAAACATCCATTTTAACTGTTTTTCTATTATCTGATATTTTTTATCATTTTCATATACTTAAAAAAAGTAAAAATTGACAGGATGGGATGGTCATTGTCTTTGTGTGCACACTTCTTGCACATAATTAAGTTTCCTTGCTTTAACTATTTTCAAATATGATTTAGAAACGTTTATAGTGCGAATGAAGTTAGACATATATGTTAGCTAGTCATTCCTGTTCTTCTCTTATTTTATACTGTCAAGACAGATGGTGAGTTTTTTAGGCCAAATAGGAACATTACAGCTACTGGTAAAATGTATGACCTCTAATTCCAAACAAATACTAAATCAGTTATATCAAGACATAAACATTACTAAAGTAATGCAAAATAAAGAGTCTTAGTGTTATGGGTTTATTGATAAAAAACAAAGCACTCCTTTGATTTGTTGTTCCAAGTGTGATTTTGAGTTGTGTTGCATTTATCGTGTTTATAGGGGATCAACAGTTTTTTTTCAGTTTGAAAATGATTGTTCAAAAACAATTTTTCGAGAGAATTGTGCATGAAATGGAAAAAGAATATTAACAGGTACCCTTTCTACATAGGTTTTATGTTTGTGAATTTTTTTAACTTATTTGTGTGGTTTCGATGTGTATGTCGCTGACTGGTATCCGTAGAAGTCGTTGATTTTTTGAAATCAAAGAGTTATTTAATTTGATCGTTATTTGGATTGGATACATTTAAAACGCGAGGTCTGCTAAATGACTTCATATTGAATATACATTTTGTTTGTCATTTTATAGAGATATACATTTTACACATACTCTTCAGGACGGAGTATCTGAACCATTGTTTTTGCAAGTATGAATTATGTAAAGCATTAAAAACGATTCAATAGTCTAAACAAAATTTGTGAGCTGGTACACGTTAATTTCTATTTTCGTTTTAAAAAATCTAAAAAAATTACATTGACAAAGAAAATAGAAAATAAATCCATCAGACGTGAATTGAAATAGAAAGTGCAAACCATATTTTGAATGAATGAGTTTGCTGTATAACATACAACTTTATGTTTAAAACTGACTCGAGCTACACGCTCAGCCTTATTGTAACTATTCCGTGCTGATAGATATAAATGTTGTTGTGCATCTGTAGAATATTTGCATTAAACCACTCGTTGTCATGTCTCTACACAATTGAAGAATTGTTCAACAATATGGTTTTCCCATAAACTTTAAAAGCATTATCAAATACAAGTAGAACACAACGTATCTCCTTAACAGCATCGTGGATATCAACCGCGCTGGATAAGTTGTCTAGAAGTGTCTTAAGTGATTTGCTATGTTGCAAAAAAAGGTTGTTTATACTCGTGATTCGTATATGAATCCCACTTTTTATTGTTATGTGTCCTAGAAAATTGTCTGTTAATACACGGGGAAAAAGACAAAATTCATAAAAAGTCGGCACCTGGTTGGTAAATGCGATAAATCGAAAAACATTGTAGTCTACGACTATATTGTAATTTTCTTAAAACACAAGAACATAATCATTCATAATTTTTTTAAAACTTTGACCTTTAGAAGAACAAAAAATTATTTTTCGGTCACGACCGTCACCTACATTTGTGTAGACGACCATTCGTAATCTTAAGGCTCGTATTATAGCACATCTGTACCAAATACTGCTGTAATTTAATTAAGAATTGAATGCGTCTTTTTGTAAATTCATTTGGATGTAAAAGCGTTAACCGAGGTACATTTCTAAAAATGTGTCCACGGTCAACGCTTCAACAACCCTATAAAATTACTAAAAGAAGGATTCAATACTTATAATTACATTTTTTGGCTAAGATCAAGAAAACACGATTTCTATCAAGTTTTTCTTTTAATTACCTGTGCACTTTATTAAGAAAGATCATGCCATCATGAATGTTAAATTTTATTTTGAAATGAAGGTTAATTTTAAATGACGCGAGATTGCTGTTAGCCAATCAAATTAACGTTTAAAAATGAAACATTCATGTAATGTATTTATTTAATACCTTATCATTTGCTTCTACCTATTTAGCAACCTATTCCAGTTATCACGGCGCCACGGTGGTCTGCCAGGGACCTAAATGCACAGTATGTCCAATTTACAAAACTTTAGTACGCTATTATTGTGTTTCTGTGAATTTGCATTGCTAAAAGACGTATCTCGGTATTTTGTACATCCAAAAATCAGTATTTATTTTTGATGTTTCTGTTTTTGGTGGGACAATGTGTTATGTCATATATTTTGTAGTCTTAATATTTATAAAACAGCCTTTCAATACCATCATTGTCATGAACAGTGTTTGGACTGATATTGTGAAAATAATTGTTTAAAGTTAGAGATTGCAAGTTCGTTTCGTAAGTGCGTTACTGATTGTGATGTCCTGTGGTGTCTGTCGTTGATGGAAGATGTTCATTGTTGTTCTGCGGTTTGCATATTGTGTCGACTATTATGTTTTTTGTTTGTGCGTCTCTCTGTGATGAATGTACTTGCATATGTTTGTAATGTATTTCCCTCACGAAGTGTTGTCATTTTAGCGATATTTTTCCACATTGTCATTTAAGTTTCTATGTATGTTGGTGTTTGTTTTTGTTGCACTTCAGTGTTCCTGTTGTTCCTTTGTTTTCCTCTTATAGTAAGTATGTTTTCAAACGTTTTAGTTTGTAATCCGGATTTGTTCTCTCTAAATCGATTTATGAGTTTGGAACACCGGTATACTACTGTTGCCTTTATTAATAAATGGTTAAATACAATTTTTGAAGTAAAATCAGTAGCACATATATCTCTGTTAAGAAAATAATTTAAATTATCACATGGATCGTTACTACTCAACAAAGATTATGGAAAACTAATAAATTCGAATTATCCATAACAATAAAACAAACATGAACGTATGTAAAATTATTCATTGCAAAGGTTTAACATTTATTTTGCACATCATGATAAAAAAGAGTCGATGTTAAATTTTTAAGGGATAACTTAAAACTCAAGTATTTGCAAAAGATTTAAAAAAAATTGAGGTATAAAATGTTCATGTTTCATTTTTTCTATATTTCTAATTGGAAAGACTTACAATTGTGTGTTGTCTCTACTTTTTACACACTTCATTGACTTTATAATATTGTGCGCTTAAGTGTGCGTGAAAAGTTTTGTATTTTATTTTTTTAAAAGCGCAAATACTTAAGACGTCTTCGGATTTCTAATATTTCTGGGATTAAATTCGACAATTGAAGTGCTTGTGTTATTTCCTTTTATCATCAGCACAATTTTAAATATAGATAAGCGATAACACGTTTTGTATGTTTGTGTCACATGTTTGTTGCTTTGGTGAAAGTTTACCCAAAATTGTTGTAGCTTTGTATGACTGATCTCTGATACCGTAGAATGGAAAATATACCTGCAATCTGACCTCTTTTTATTGTTTTGCGAACCTCATTAAGAGTTATTTTCTACCCATAAACAACTGCAGGTAACCAACTTATGTAAATGAAAACAGACAGGACATTTAAACATTTATTTTGATGGTAAAGATTTGATATGCAATATCAATTAAAGACACAATCGTACTTAATTTAGAATATAATAGGATCTGAACGATTTGTGATCCGTATAATTACCTATTATTGAGTATCAGCAAATCTTATATTTTTTTAATTCGATTCAAAATGCTATTATCTTTTAACAAACGCCTTTTATTAATATATTATAAATAAAGTACAGTTGCAATAAATATAAATTTATTTCACTTACCGAATTAAAATTATTTTTAACTGTTTTTGAAATGTGTTTGCGTTTTGCATTTTTTTCACAACTATAAATTGTTTAGCTTTCCCAAGTACATATAGCCTTTTTTATGGAATAAGATCCCTTCCATTTCGAAAATGCAGGTCGATTTCACAATGTTCTGTTTATTGATTGTCTATGTGTTTCAATTAATAATTGAATGCTTTTTTTTTGTAAATGTATTGGGATCTAAAAGTGTTGACCGAAGTACATTTTGTATGAAGCGTGGAAGCGCTTCATTCTAAAAATGTGCACACTGTCAACGATTTCACAACCGTATAAAAGTACTAAAAAAAGCATTTACTATTTATGATTACATTTTTTTTGTTAGGATTGTACAAACTCGGGGCCTTTTATAGCTGACTATGCGGTATGGGCTTTGATCATTTCAGCTCTTTGCAAGTTCAAAACTATAAAACGACGGGTATAACATTTCTTATGACATACTAGATTGCGATGAAGAATAAGAAGGAAATACTTAATTCGTTCCACCAGGCATTCACCTATGATGACATTTATGATTTACCTTATATCTTTTATCTTCCACGTAATTTTAAATTGGTTCCAGAAATGCAATCAATCGTCAAATAATAGAATTGCTATGAGTATTGCCTGCGTTCTCTACTTGCTGATCGTGTAAATTACTGTAAGCAATTTTGTCCAAAATAAAAACATTAGGTGATGTTGGAATGCTATTTTATTGTCATGTATATGTAGCGACCCTAGTGGTTATCTTTTTCGTGTATTATTATTAGTTGCCTTGTAAATTTTATTTCAGATCAATTGGACATGACAATTTTTTATATTCTTGGACTTTTACGAGTTCTTCTTCTGTTCTGGATCCTTGGATATTTCAATGCAACTGGAGGTAAATATCTAGTAAATTCAAAATCTGATATCATAAATATTTGTTATCTGAGACAAATGGTATTCATCATATGTTTTCTTTATATTCTCATTTGTGTGCTCTTTCCTATTATGCAGACTTAGTGAACGAAATGTCCTCTAGAACTGATCCAGTATGATAACGTGGACGAACACATAAAATCGACTTAAGCATACCACAAATTGGCTGACCGATACGAGGTGTCAGTTCCCCAGCCTATATAAAACTTGATTTCGTGATCTCAAATCGCGATAGGTCTAATGTATGCATTAAACACTTTTTTCTATAAATTTTGACCGATTGTTTACAATTGGTTGGGAACGTATGCATAGTAGACGTTACACTATTTAAGCAACAAATCTCGTTCCTACAATAAAGCTATTCTGTCATGTTTTTTTTTTCTATCTTGATTTGTTTATTTCTAGTGGAAAAAATGAAATTTGAACATCAATATAGAAATTTTGCCTCAAATTTGACAACATCAATTTACTGATGTTTAGATTTTGGTCCCAATCACAGCGAGCGTATGTATTTCATGCTTTTTGCCTTTACTGGTATCCGTCTCGTTAGTCATTATAATGAAATATTCGATTTATATGTTTTATTCGGTCGTATCATAGACGAATTATTTTTGTGGTTTTAAAGGTTAATAACTGCGACCTCTACAATTACATAAGGTCCATTTCATTGGTGGCGGAAAACGGAATGCCTGTAGAAAAGCATCAATCTTCTACAGATCGGAAAAAAACACATCTCTCCATTTACAGTCTTGTTATCGTTGTAGATAGATTACTCAAGCCACTCAATCACCGAAGCGCTAGGGGTAGTTTAAGAAGATGATTACCATATTAAATTATAAAAAACAAATTTTATTCATTTTCCAGACTTGTTTGTACCATGGTCGGCCAGCATCTGTGTTACAAAATAAATATTACGCACAAATGCGATAATTTCAGTTTTCCATTACCAAGTTCCTCCTATCGGATGACGTTTTCATATTTCAAATAAAACATTTAACGCGCACTAATATACAATTATAAGGATTTCATTTACAAAGTTTGGAATCAAAAACTGGTGCAGCAGGGTTATTAGAAAAACAACATAATCGGAACGTTACAATTTGCACATATTTAAATTGAAAGCGCTGCTGGAGAGCAACTAGTACTCGACGGTATCATCAGCATAGTACTTTGGTACTGTCAAGATTGATCTCATTCCTTTCTCATTTTTTCCGCTGATATACAGTACTACCTGTGACATTATCTTATTAATGGTGGCCATAAAAAATATGGTCACCATGATGGCCCTAAATGTCCATCATTGTACCTCCTGTTGCTTAATTAATACACAAGGTATTAATCAAAAACTAGTCAAGGATAAAGGGAAATCATGACTGCATTGAAATGTTAAGATTATATAACTGACAGGTAAAGTGTCTCAGGTAAAATATATGTGTTTGTCAAATTTAATAACTGTGATTATGACAAGAAAATTCTAAAATAAAATGAAATAATAAAACTAGTTGAACATATAGCTTCCTAACTTTTTTTTTGGTAAAATATTTGCTCATGACTGTTTGTTTTGATGTTGTACCTTTTAAATAATCCTATCAATTTAAGTTTTTTTTTACATGTAATTTTTGGCAAGTGAATAATAAATGAATATCATCTTCTAATGTAATTCAAACTTTCACAATGCCTGCCTGCCTTTTTCCATTGAAAAGATGTTTCTCAAATTAATTTTCTAAAATCAAAATTGTTTATACTTACTGCATTAACATTGTTAAACAAATGTTTAAGATTATCTTATTTTCGAATATATTATCTCTAAGTTGTTATGTTAATTTTTCAAACAATTCTTTATAGGAATAGTTATCCACCATTATCTATTTCTAGATTATGACCACTAATTCTTTAAGTTTTTATTTTATTTTCAAAAATATTCTTATTTTTGTTCTTAAAATTCCTTTTAAATCAAGGGCTTTAGAGAATCTAATCCATTCAAGTCCCTGCAATTATTAACTTTATCTAAAAGGCCTGAGTCGAGTGAAATATTCTTTGCAAATGTATACCAAGAATATGTATCGAATGTAGGACAGAAATGCACAGGACAAAAGGCCACAGACAAAAAGTCACGGACAAAAAGTCACGGACAAAAAGTCACAGGACAAAAAGTCACAATTCAGTTTTGAGATTATATTTCTTTGAACAAGAAAACACTAATTTTGAAAATATTTTTTTTGTTTTTTCTTGAACTATTATATATGAAGCAACTTTGTAATAAAAATGTATTCAATAAATATCAATAATGATCAAACAATTGTTATGAAAACAAAATGTCAAAGTGACCTGATACTAAAATGGCTTCATTCTGCCAAGAAATATATCCTTTGTATGATTAAATTTTAGTAAATTTTCAATTATCAAGGCTTATGAACAATTGCCGAAACTTAAAGATAAATATATGTTACAAAAAGAAAATATTTCAACATCTTTCTCTCATATATTCAAACAATTGTCAACAAATTATTTGTGACTTTATGTCCTGTGACTTTCTGTTTATTTACCTATGTACCATGTATATGCCAGTCCTGCAGTTTAGACAATAAATTAATACACAGATCAAAATGTGATTTAATTAATAGACCATAAAAGTGTCACAATCTATATGAAAGTGTAGTTTATTTTTTCTGGAGACAAATTGTGCCTGTTAACTGACAAAATTAGCCAAACTGAAGATAACATATTTGATAAGTTTACAATTGTTTCAAAAAGCAAGACATTTTTTTCTTTAAATAATGACTTTTCATAAGATTTACTTTATTCAGAGATAAAAAGAATTTATCAAAATTTGATGATAACTAGGTAGCCATTTGGAAAATTTAAGTCTCTTAAGTGGTTCTTCATGCACAACTCCAGTTTTGAGATTTGAAAAATATAAAAGATAAACAAAAATAGTTTATTCCTATACCATATAATAATATTTGTGGTTTTCCTGAATAATCATTATGATGATATATTGTACAACTTTGTTAACAAAATTTATAAAAGGATTGATATTCATGATATTGATAATTTTAATTTGTTAAGAAACAGGCTTGTTAAACTACTTGCTTCATGGTTCCTTTAAATATATCATTTGCATGATTATAAGTTATAATTAATAATAATTCATTTAATTATGCAAACGAACAATTGAATACCATGTACATCATGTGCAATAACTTTTTTTACTGAAAAACAATTATTTAAAGGATTCTCTGTTTTGTTTTCAAATGCTAGTCAATAACTTATCTTTTAATTTTTTTCATTTCTACTCAAGATTTTTTCCAAGAAGAAATTAAAAGAATAAAAAGCAAAAAAAAAAAAAAAACAAAACAAATAAAAAATAAAAAAATAACATAAAAACATTAGAAAAAAGGAAAATATGTAAATTTAAAGACAGAAAAATCAACAAATAATATTAATTAAAAAAAACTAAAACAACATTCTATTCTACATTTTCAAGAAAAGGTGAAATGTCAATTTGAGAAGAAACCTAAATTACCTGTACAGGTAAATTTTAATGAAATATACAAGCAGAAAACTTCAACCCTGATTGATTTCAACAGGTAACATAATTAGATAAAACATCAACCTATGTTTTATGACTCCAATAAATGGCCAACATCTCAAGATTGAATACCCCAATAAATGGCTACCATTCAATGGTGACTATACAAGAGGGTGGACATAACTAAGAGGAAGTCACAGGTTGTACTGTATTTACAATTATTTAAATGATTGAAAACCTAAGAATCCTAGTCCATCAAGTAAAATAGATGTTCAATTCGGTTCTAAGACGAGTATTAATTATATCTTATATAAGAATGCCGGATTTTGATTGGTTGGTTGCCAGTGTATTTTTCGCAAATTCTAACCTTTATTCTTTATTTTAATCGAATTTGCTTTTTTTTCTACCACTGCCAATGAATATGCCTCAAATTCCCCTCTATGTCGTTGTATTTGTCATTTTGGATATTTGTTTTACTCCCGCCTGCCTCTTCCTACTAAAATTGTTCTCACTTTATCTCATTTATTAAGGCAACTTGATAATGCAATATTGATTGATAGAGGTAATCCAAAAACTGTTTAAAAAAAGGTCAGACAACACGACTGCACGGCACCAATCTCGTGGTCGTATATTGAAGAATGCGCTGTGTATATAAAGTGGGAAAAGACGTCTATACAAATGGACGATTTAATGAGGGAATGACAATGACGTTTACATATAGATACCATGACGTTACAAAACGACAACATGTACGTGTATATGTACATGTATAATTCCCGCGGTACTATGATAGTCTCTACTTATCCTAAAAATTATGCAAAAACTTGTTTATAGATTACAGCTTACTGGTAAAAAAAGGATTTCCATGCACCTGTACAGAGAGTTTCAATCACAATCTTTTCGGTGTAATGAAACAGATATATTATGTTATGGAGGGGTTATGGATGGGTATTTGCGAAAAATTCTAGTCTAGATACCAAATTTCACTCGCACGGCGGCTCGGGAAATTTCACAGTCCCTTGACTGGTACTTTTAACAAATACTCCTCCATAAGATGATATAATTCTGTTCATTATACATTGTACATCAGCGATCTGGATAGAGAAAATTACAAAAAGAGCGCTTCGCTTGCTTCAAATGCATATAGTATTATTTTCTTTAAGCACTAGTCTAGAATGAAAAAATACATTTGACTGACAAATTTGGAATGGGATCACCAGAGGGACGCTTAAAGCGTGTTTTTTCACTACATAAGACTCGGTCTGTGGCACACGTAGCAAACAACTGGAAGATCACACCTGTAACGAAAAAGTAAAATCACAAAAATACTGAAATCCGAGGAAAATTCAAAACAGAAAGTCCCTAATCAAATGGCAAAATCAAAAGCTCAAACACATCGAACGAATTGATGACAACTGTCATATTCCTGACTTGGTACAGGCATTTTCTTATTTTGAAAATAATGGATTGAACCTGTTTTATAGCTAGCTAAACCTCTCACTTGTATGACAGTCGCATCAAATTCCATTATATTGACAACAATGCGAAAGAACACTGCTTGACAACAATGCGAAAGAACACTGCTTGACAACAATGCGAAAGAACACTGCTTGACAACAATGCGAAAGAACACTGCTTGACAACAATTAATGCGAAAAAACACTGCAAACTAACAGTTAAGATATTGATTTTGGGCAAAACAGAAATGTATTGTAAAAGGTAACCGAAAACATACAATCCAAAACATTTTCCAAAAGATAAGGAAAAAAGTAAATAATCAATGATTGTTTAAAAAATATGTTTAGTAGCAAACGTCCTTACCTTTAAGATACTTCGTGTAATTTGACTGAACAAACTGAAGTATAATGAACTAAATGTATCGGATAGTAGTGTAAAAGGGATTAAATAATGTACAAAAAAATGTAGCCTGGTGAATATTGCTGGGTCATTAAAATATGAAATGACAATGTTTTTTTCTGAATTTGTCTAAATTATGTCTTATTTTCTGAAAAGAATTTATCATAAACATTTGTTCTCAACACTATCTTTATGTTCTTTACTTATATCAAATGTTCTTTACTTTTTGTATTAATAGTCTGTACACTGGCAAAATTCATCTGAAGACATTCTTTATAGTCTTAAAACTTTCTGAATTTATTTCCAACAATTTTAACAATCTTGACACTGTCCAAATTTGTTGTTATACATTGGTTACACTCTTAACGGTCTGAAATCAGTCTATATTATCTAAACAAATTATAAACCGCCTTGACTGATAACTGTTTATTTTTAAAAAGTATATTCTTAATTAACTGTTAAAATCTAATAGTAGGCCTAGTGAAAACTGTAGGATTTCTATATTGGGGACTTACAAGAGTAATATACCTTTTGTCTAATCATTTAATAAACACAACTAAAACAAAATGATAATTTGAAAAGAATTTTTTAATTGAAATATAAACAATAGTCATAATTTTGATAAAATTTAAAAAAAAACCTTAAAAAAAAAAAAAAAAACCATAACATGCGAATGCAAACATGCAAACTGTCGATTACTAATAATTCAAACTGTGGATTACTTATAATTCAAACTGTGCATTACTTATAATTCAAACTGTGCATTACTTATAATTCAAACTGTGCATTATTTGTCATTCAAACTGTGTATTACCTATAATTCAAACTGTGGATTACTTATAATTCAAGCTGTGAATTACTTATAATACAAACTGTGTATTACTTATAATTCAAACTGTGTATTACTTATAATTTAAACCCTGAAAAAAATGATAGCATACAGAGTATCATCCTTTTATTGTCTTATCTGCATGACCATAAAACTCATATATCATGCATTTGTGTGTGTGGTCCGTGATATTCAAACGGGTTTACAGGGACAATGACTTATGCTGGACATTTCAAAACTTTTACTGCCAATTGGAAATTTAGTAAGTTAACCGATAAAAAGACCAATGAGAAATACAACTGGATGTTTTACTCCACAGAAGCAGCTTTTAAACGTTAAACAGTGAAGGATATTAAGAAAGTTAGATATACATATATAGTTTTTTTTTTAATTTAAATTGCATACCATAAAGAATAAAACACATGCGCTTTTTGATGTTTTATCAATACGTAATAAGCGGTCAATGAACATCAAGTGTTAAATTTATTTTGGATATTTATCGTTAATTTGTACATTTTTACTTTGGTGTGTTCTAGTTGAATAATTCAGTCTTAGTGGATTGGTCGCTATTAAAAAATCATTTAGTTAGTTAGCAATTGGCACGCGCGAGTCCAAAGCGTAAGGATCTCCTTCTCCTTACAATCACAAAAACGGGCGTGAATTTTTTCGCAGTAACACACAAGTTTTTTGGCAAAAGGAACAATGTTCATTGTTTCAGTAAACAAAGTTAGCTTAGCTTTTGGGAACGATTGTATGAAATTTTGAAGAGAAAATGACCGAAAACCCGATATTAAAACTTAAAAATATTGCGTTATCAGTTTTTAATTATTTTAATATTATAAATAGTCAGGTGGTGTTCCAAGTTGTCTTCTTTTTCAGCTTCTTAAGGTGATCGGAGTAAAATCCTCAGTAGTATTTTCAATTTTTAAACTCAACACATAAATAGTGACAAAAAAGGTACCGCTATTGAGAGAAGCTGAAAAATGAAATAAACACATTTTCGACATTTTTGGTGGGACCATCATATAAAATTTAGGAGATGTGGTTTCATTGTCAATGTATAGATAATCTAAATTTTAAAAAGAGAGGTGCCCGGGGTCCTAAAACTAGACAACGCTTAGAGTGGAACAGGTAATAATTCTGAATGAACCATAAATGTAGCCTTTACAATGGATGAACCAAGCCGCCTCTCCCCTAGATCCGTTTCTGAAATTACTGGGAACCGCAGGGCCTTCAATGTTTCATGTTTGTGGTTGGAAAATAAATGTCATTACTTTGAAAAAAAACACGAAAAGCAAAAGTAAATAGACCAAAATTGAGTGGCATCTATTATGAAATGTTTTAAATAGTAATAACAATAGTCAGCCAACGGACTCGTTGCATCATCAAAAATAAATGTCTGCTTACACAGAGCTTTTCCAAAATCAAAGTGATCATTTTCGTGAAGAACCTTGAGCGCATAACGAATTATTAAGTAAATTATTCATCAACGATAAAGTAACCTGTACAAGATTTACCTTTGAACTTCTAAAACAATAACAAATCGCTGATTCAGTTTGTATCATAATGTGATATGCGAAAAAAGAAAGAAGTTTGACTTACCGATGTTACCATTTTTGTTTAAGGCATGTTCAAAGTAGAAATTAATGAAAAGCATGCAATAATTCATTTTCAATACTTTGTTCAAGAGAACGCCATATTTACTGCACTGTGAGTCTGACAAAATTTCAAATGAAGTAATGCATCCTGTGATTTCATGTGTGATTCGCCGTGATTATAAACGATAAAATAGTTTCTTTTTTATTTTCTCTATTATGATAGTGATCTTCTATAATCGCAGTTTTGAAGTGCTGTACAGCACTCATATATTACCAACCAATATACAATGTACTTTTATAATTATTCCTACCAAAAGTATTATTCTTTGTGGATTGCAACAGTATTTTGAAAAAAAATGAGGTACTTTATGGGTTTCAACTGCTAGCTTAGTATATCATATCATATGACAAGCCTGTAGGTTCTAAGCAGAATTAGTTTTCGCCTCCTTTCTTATTGTCTTTAATAAAGGCAACAGTAGTATATCGGTATATCTAAAGTCATAAATCGATCGAGAAAAAAAAATCCTTCTTACAATCCAGAACCGAGAGAAACACATTTGAGGAATATTTTGGATTTTCAAATATTTTCTACTGACAATTCACCAAACGGACATTTATTATCGAAATAGGTACCAAAATGCAGTAAAATTGGAGATAGCAGTGCTATCTGCTGGTAAAGAAGTAAGTGTGTGTAAAACATCTTTTTGGTAAGACTTCGTCATAAAACATGTCTTCAAACATTTAATAATATAAAGGGCTTACAATTCCCAAACATATGAAGAGGACTTTCGAATGCCTTATTTTATATAACTGCAGATTGGCCATCAGGCAACCATTTATCACATATGAAGGTTATATTTTCAGGACTGGAAAATGTCAAATATATTTTTTCTTTTCTTCAGATTTTTACCATGACGTAAACAATTGGAAAACGGCATACAGTCGGAGCAATTATTGTGCAGGTCATGCTCAACAAAATTCGCCGCATACTTGTGATACTCAATTAAAAGGAGCAAAAGAAAAAGGCAAATATGTTTCGTCAGATAGTTATACTAAGGCTGCAGTTGAAATTGTATATATATATACGTGGGAGAATCCAAACACTTACCAAAACGCGAATGCTTTAATGCGTGGAGAATCAAATGGGTATCTTGCTAACACGGGAAACGTAAATATGTTCAACACGTATATTAATCTTATGAAAAAATCTTATGACCGTCTTTGTGCCGTATTTTCAAATTATTGCAACTATAACGATAAAGTTTTTAGAGGACAAACATATATTCCTCCGGAGATAGGTTCTACTTTCACTTTTCAAAGTTTTTTAAGCACTTCGAAGTCTATGACCACAGCTCAGAATTTTGCAAAAGGTCAGATGATTTTTACAATTAAAGGCGTTAGTGGATTGGACTTGGATCTATTCTCAGCCGTAGATGGTGAAACAGAAGTTTTAGTTAAACCACAACTTAAGATTAGCGTAGAAATCAATCTTAAAAATTCTCAATCTGAAATTCAAAAGTATATAGATCAATACGATGGGAATTATTACTATCCAAATAGTTATGTTGAAGGGACTGTGATAACATCAGGATCGGGGAGGTCAAATGAATCAAAATGGCATGGAGCCTATATATTCCCTTTGCTAAGTTTTGTTGTTGTTTGCATTGCAAATATTTGATAAGATCAAAGTTGAATTTTGTAAAATTATGAAGTTTTTAGGAAATTGCTATCAATATCATCGATCGATCGATCGATCGATCGATCGATCGATCGATCGAGAGAGAGAGAGAGAGAGAGAGAGAGAGAAATAATGACACTATCTAAATCGTTATATGGAGTAAGTATTGCCAAGAGTTTTGTTAATGTACAAATTTGAAGCATTGATAATTGTAATCAACTAATAATACTATCACTTAAAAATAGTTAAACCGGGTTGCACTTTTGGTTTAGACATTATTTTCCGGTAAAACGGCTAAAAAAACATTTTAATGATTTTGTCACTGTCAGCTAACAACATTAGATTCAATTATGCAAATATAGTGAAGTGAGTACAGAATATTCAAGGTAAAGCTGGTTTTAGTATATATTGGACTGTCAAATAGATACGTTTTCAATGATGATAAAATAATTCTGCTCAATGATCTATAGAATAAACACACTGTTGATTTAATTAATTAATTTATTTATTAATCAACAGTTTATTAGATGGCAAGTTTCAAACCATAGGAAAATTGGATGTGTACTGATTGATATTCAAATCTAAGACAATTGATTGTTTTCATTAGCGGATATTTACTTTGAACTAACTGTCAGTAACTGCGAGTACTCTGAGATCTGTACTTGGTGTCTTTTTGTTGTTGGGATGTATAAGTTCCCGTTCACGTCTACTTTGTGTTTTGTAGATGTATTTCTTTTTGTATCCATCTGCTGAGTGAATCCTTTTTCAACTGATTTCTATAGTTTGTTCTTATGTTGTAATGTTACCCAATGTTCAAGATTAGGGGAAGGTTAAACGCTCACAAACCTGTTTTACCCCGCAACATTCTTTATTTGCATGTCCAAAGTAAGGAGCGTGTAGTTCAGTGGTTGTTGTTGCTTCATGTTTGTATTATTGGTTTGTATTGGTTCGAGGCGTAGCTGAGAGTCAATACAGCTGAGAGAGACCCAATACAGAATCCACATAAGCAAACCGGTTTTTATGACACTTTTATTAACCAACAGACTTAAACTAACCACCAATAGCTGACTGAGGACATATACGAAAGTAGGAAGACTAATACGGGATGAATATGAACTAATTGGATTAATCTTCATTTAAATGCATGTGATGTCGAAAAGTAAAAAAATAATACTGTGCGATGATTTATCCTGAAATGACCATATGAGTTTCTTGGGTTTTTTAAAAATTCATCTTCCATCAACATAACGTGACTGACCTTTTTTAAGGAAAATGACAAGGACAGGTTAGAAGAGAGACGAAGATTTTGAAATCAATCTGGTGTCGAGAGCGAGGATAGCTTTTACAAAAGGTCCTTTTCATGGCCATATTTAATTTGTAGAAAGAGTCTTTCTTAATTGTACATATGAGGCATTTTAAGGTACATGTTAAGATACAAAATAATTATCTAATGTAAGTGTGTAGACAAATGTTTACTACCGTGTGACATATGCTTCTTTAACATGTTTTATAAAGGTTCACATATAGTCATCTTACTATTTGTTTTGTACAATTAAACAAATGTGGCCCCGCGAGAATATTCAAGATTTTCAACCATGTAATATTCAAAAAAATTTTTCTCTCATTGCGCCAATCAGAGAAATAATCTTTAACTGTTGACTGTTCTTAACATTCTCCGTTTCTACCGTCCATAACTGAATAAAAATAAAGAAAAAAATCATTGCATATGAAAATAACAACAGCTGTTAAATCAAACTTGTTGAGATGTAATGATTCGTGTAATACACACACACTTTTTAACTAAACACCAGTAACTTATTATTAAGACAAGTAAAAGTTTTTTGTTTTGACCGATTGTTTGTACCTGACCTGTATTAAAGACCAGTTCTAAGACACTCAGAATTGTAAAAAATAGGCAATTCATAGTTTATCTAAAGTCCTTGGTTTATTAACATGTATACTAACTATCCTTTATTTCCATATTAGATTTACAATGTATATCTTTATTTATTTTACTAATCTAATTTTGTACTTTTGTTATTGTTGTCAAATAATAGCTTTTTTCCAAGAATTGTATATGATTTACTAAAAGACTATTCTTTAATATCATATAAGTATGTAATAATTTGTTATTGTAGCTACATTTATACTAATCAGAAGATGATTTGGATAAAAAAAAGAGCAGACGGTTTAAAATTTACTTTTTATTGTTTTCATTAATTGCTGCATGACTGGTGCAGATTCTTTGTCTTTCAAACATATTAAAGGTACTAATAAGAATGTCCTCGGTGTTACTGGATCTTACAATGCTTTTTCCTATATGACAAATGTCTTCTTTATTGATTTTTTTAATATTGCGCGGTGTCATAGACATAAAAAAAACATAAACAAAATCTGTGAATTCGTTTGACAAAGTAATCAAAATATGGTCCCACAAAATTCGACTACTAGTGGAGCGGCGAATGTTGAAAAAGTCGCTTAGTTTACGAGTTTAAATTACCTAAATACCTTATTGAATTTTAATGTCTTAAATTTTCTACCGATTATTTAAGATATGACTGTAATATTTATTCTGTCTATTAAGAAATAACATCAAAAATGTGGTGCACACTGAAAAACCCGCGTAGTGGGTTATTTTAAAGTGTGCATCACATTTTTTATGTTATTTCGAATAGACAGAAAAAATATTACAGTCATTTCTTATAATTTAATAGTAAATTCCATTTTAAACCGTAGTAAACCATGAAAAAACGTTGATGACGTCACGGTCACATGACACAATTATGTCTATGAGCTGATAAACAAAACAACGTCAGCCAATCAGAAGACGCGTTATATCCAAAATTAAATTATTCAGCTTTAGAAAAATATTTGTCGAAAATATTAAATGTGGTACAAATGACGTTAAACACAGCCGTAACTGATGTTACCCAACTTGCAACGAATACCCCACTGCTGATTCGGTAGACAAATCTCATAACAAACAACTTCTAAAAACAATTTGTGAACGGAATTGGTAAATACAGTTACAGGTCATGTAATAAAACTGTACAATTAAGCAGAATTTGAAATCAGCAGCACATTCTTCGGCTGAAAAGGAAGCACCAGATATAAAGCCTTATATATCAAAATTCTTTGTTGTCTGAAAACAATATTAATCCTCTCAATACATCAAAGTGTATTATTTGCAACAAACTATATCCTAAAAACATTACATACCATTGCATCTGTTGAAAGATAGCAAAGCTAAAAGATGCTGCTGTTAGAGCATGCGACGCTGAAATAATGTGTCAACTAGAGCAAGAGAATTTGCTCAATAATCCAGTTTATAAGGCGGCTTGGTTGGACATACTTTGCATAAAGACAAAAATCTACTGATAAATCTGCGTATGATTTGGCGTTTGAAAGAGAAGTTAAAACTATAGACAGAGACCTTATTATTTACAAAAAAATCCCCGTAATGTCATCAATTTTGACAATGTACCAGTCTTTTTAATAGATAAAATTAGTAAGACCTACTGTAATTCCTCTAACCTCAAAGCTAAACTTGAGAAACACTCCAGGGCTGCCATTTTGTCTCTGCTCAACAAAGACATGGTTCATCAAGCGTTGTATTTTCTTGTGCTATTTCTATTGAAGATGCTGTTATGGCCGCAAATAACGTCAATGTAGTATTAGAATTGACAGCTTGAAGGATAACAGACGATTAATATCAGTTTACGCCATTATTTCGTCTTTTGTTCAAGTTGTTATCGGTATTCTGTTTATCGTTCTTGCTATGAGTGGATGTAATTACACTTCAAGTGTTTCTGGCATCGGTCAAAAGTCAGTATTCAACTTCCTAAGGACGAAACGTAGCCGCTTCATTAACTGTAGTCTTAACACATGATGATTGATAGTTGCTGCTAAGGTGTTTAATATTGCTTTATACGACTCGAAATCGCACAACAATTTGAATTTGCTGAGACATCTGTTGACTATAGATATAGATAAAAGTATTATAAAGCTTCCGCCATGTGAATTGGTATTTTAACAACACGTACTACGTGCTATATGGCGAAGCAAAGTTTTAGTGGCGGCAAATTTGGCCAACCCAAATAAGGGCTCACCGTGTGCCTTTGATTGGAAAATTGTGCAAAATGACAAGCTGGAGCAAGTTTTCTTTGAGGGACCTTGATTTACGGCAAGAATGTACCAACTTTTATATTTACGACACATAATTTAAAAAAGTACACGATTTCAGCTTTCCAATGAGCTATTAAATTCCTATGAGGAATTTAGGTAATTTAAATTTCTAAAATTGTCCTCTTTGCCGCTCCACTATATCTGTAAATAAGAAAATGCATTCTCACCTTTTGTAACACTATCCAAAATGGTTGATGCGCCTTCATATTACATTACTACATTCATATTCAATCGGTAAGCGTTTAAAAAAGTCAACATTGGCACGATACATTCGGCTATTGTGAATAAAAGTAAAATTGCAAAAATACAAAAATCCAAGGAAAATTCAAAACGGAAAGTCCTTTACCAAATGGCAAAATCAAAAGCTCAAACAATTCAAACGAATGGAAAACAACTAACTGGATACAGACGAAGAGATAAAGACCAACGTGTTCCGTTAGGTGTGTATTTTTTTATTTATGGATCTCTATATTTTGTATAGAGGGCATACATTTTTTTAAAAATTTTTGTCCCTTTAACAAATTTGTTAAAAATGTCTAATAGTTTGACCATTAACAATTCACTATGTTGAACCCTCTTTTATTACGCCATCCCTGGTTATGCCCCTCAATGTGATTAAGTCATAAATTTTATAAATGTCCTAAATATCATTTTTTTTTGTTGCTTTATTTCAACTATGGTCAAGCATCTTTAATTCAAAACCTGTTGACTCAATCAGTTTTGTTGCGAAATCTCTAATGTTTTATTTCTGTTTATCTCACACGGTTTTCAATATGATAACACAAGTAATAGCTTTTCTAAAAAAGCTAGCCGTCTCTTAGCTGATGAAAGTGGAAAGTGTTCTCGCTTTGTTGATTAATTCATTCAGAATAGCCATGCATATAAATTAACAATTTTTACCAAGCACGTTATTAAGCAGTATACCGTTTAATGTTGGGTGTCAAATAAGGTCCTTATCGTCCGAATCCTTCAATGCTTAAAATACTGGATTGACATAATCTTTAATGAGAGATCGTTCTTTTAAAACGCCAACAGTATTTTTTTTTAATTTTCTTTTATTTTATTGTTCCCTCATATAACATCTGATATAGTATAAATGGTCACTAAACCTCAAAACAACTACTAGACTGAAGTTTGTTCTTGACCCTGCTCATTATTTTAAGGAATATTCATTTTTTGCTATTAAGATATATATATATATATTTTTTACATGTGTTCCAAACTATTCTTTATACCATATTGGACTTTCGAGGATTAAAAACTTAAAATATTGTAATGACATGTCCATTGTAGAAGACCGTAGGTTGAATTTTATAAGTAAATTGTTTTGTTTGTTGTTTAATTGGGTTGCTGTCTAAACTAATTACGTATACTTCATATCTCCTTTAATATCATTCATAGAAATTAAGCACTGCTGAAAAATGATAGTATACATGTATAATTGCTTTCATCCTTTTTAGAGTAGAATTTGTATTCTTCCTATATTCTCCTTTGTATTTTTAGGGTCTTCTGTTTTTAATCGACAGCTATTTTTATAAGGAGAGCTAGACAACAGTCAACCCAGCCCAAACCCTGTCCTGAAGATCGGGAATGGTGCATTTATCATACTTATCATTTGTATTTAGAGGTAAAATAGTTCTTTATTTAAGTTTCATGATATTTGATGAAGCTGTGAATTTTACGTGATAAAGATAAGTTTGAAGATTGAATCTGAATCCTAAAATTATGGTTGTAAATGCTTTATTTGTTTGTCATACAATTTATTCTCCCATCACGAAATGTCATAACCATGATACCTATGTGTAGGCATATTTATTGTAAAAAAATGTTCTTTTATCAGATACATATATATGTCTTCCCTTGGATTTCGGCTTTTACCATGAAAAGGTCGTTACTTATAAGTATAAAAATCTTACTTATAAGTATAAATATTTCAGTATAACCTAACATAAAAAGCACGATGTTTTCCTATTTCCTAAGTATGCTTTCATATATATAAGATGAACGTAACAGTGAGCGACCACAGGGACTCGGTTAATCCGTTAGCGGATTAAAATTGTGTTTATCAATGTTTTTTAAATGTCTTTCGTATTTCCTGAATATTTGTACAGGATTTTTCAGTATACAGATATGGATATAAGAGGGGCCTGATGGGTTATTTTCGTTCTTCGTGATCGGCGCATTTTCGCTATCGTGATCCGTTTTTCTACAGATTTATACTCTTTTTATATTTTCGTGATCCGTGATCATGGAAATTTATTTTCTGTGAATCGTGATTGACAAAAAAATCAACTCGTGAATCGTGATGAGACCCCTCCCCCCCCCCCCCCACATCAGGCCCCTCATATAATAGATCATAGTTAACTGTACATTGCTAAAAAGCTAAGAAATATTCATGCCAATGATAAAATGGTTAATAATACAATACAAATAGACAGGAAATACTAAAAAAGATTTGAAAAACGTTGGTAAACAAACCGGGCAAACAAAAGTTTAATCTGCTATTATAAACCGAGTCCCTGTGTGGAATATTAAATTATCACATGTGCGTTTACAAAATATCAGCTAGGAGTTTCGGCTATTTATAGATAAGTGTTATCTGTGTACTGTGTACCGATACATACGATATGCATGATTGGTAACTAGGCAAAATCTAATTGCGAGTTCAAGTCCAATACTTTACGGGATTGAAGGACATTTACCAGGTTTGGGTTGTCCCAACCAATCAACGAACTTTAATCATTAGCGTCTCAGTAATATCGTGAAATCAGGTAGTAAGAAGCACTCAGCCCACAGACTGTCCATCGTTCAACTCTTAATAACGTCTCCGAGGAGACGTTATCAAAATGTGATTTTCTTGACAATCTTTATAATAATCACTTGAATAATTCAAGGTTTTCCGTTTCTCATGTTGCTTTCATAGATTACTAGCACTGTAAAACCAGCAATAATGTTACCTTGATCTCCGATTAACTAATTACGATCTTGCCACCGTAATACTGTATGTACTATCCGAATTGATGCTTTTAACATAACAACTGAAAAAACCTTACGTCCATCCTCTTGGACACACAATGTTAAATAATGCTGTAATATCACGTAGCACGGTAAACTACCTAGTATGATGAAAAACACAATAGATTAAATAACAATTTCTAAACGTGGTGCAAATCATATAAAGGGGCAATACGTTTCACAAACAATTGATATTTTGTATCCCCATTTATGACATTTTTACCTATCGTGTTTGTTTTGTTCACACGTCGTTGTCCATATAAAGAAATTTGATATGACTGTCATACAAGTGAGAAGTTTAGCGCTTTATAACCACGTTCAATCCACCATTTTCTACAGAAGAAAATGCCAGTACCAAGTCAGGAATAGAACAGTTGTTGTCCATTCGTTTGATGTATTTTATCTTTTGATTTTGCCATTTGATTAGGAACTTTCCGTTTTGAATTTTCCTCGAAGTTCAGTATTTTTGTGATTTTACTTTTTCCATCGTTACAATATTTGCTCGTCCTTAGCTTTTTTTTTGAAGCAACAAATAAAATAATCAATCCTTTTCAGATGTATTTGTAAACCTGTTTCCTCAGATGGCTAAATGCACTATCACTTCTCATGTGAGACTTATTTGTTCCATGAATTCAAGAAAATACTCCAAATTAGAGATTGAATGGACTCACGTTCGCAGTGGTATAGTTTTACGATCCCTAAATGGAATTGTATATGACAGAACGTCAATTTTATCTATATCTTATTGCGACCAACGAGATGCAGGGTGATACATATGTCAATGGTCTGCTGGTGATTATTCAAATCAATCTACGGCGATGGTCAAAGGCATTTAAAGATGGGTGTTTATTGCATGCAACATACAGTAGAATAGATTTAGGCATTTTAAAGAAGTTTATCAATTTCTTTAACGTATTGTAATGACTGCTCTGGTACATGTGTTCCAGTAATGTTTTAAAACAATCTCAATATGAATAGTTAAACTAGAGTACCTTTTAAGAAATGCTTCATTTTTTACTCAAAAATTCATTTAAGGAATAACTGTAATAATTTTTCTGTCTAGGAAGAAATAACATCAAAAATGTGGTGCACACTGAATAACCCGCACAGCGGATTATTTTAAAGTGTGCACCACATTTTTTATGTTATTTTGAATGACAGAAAACTTTATTACAGTCATTTCTTATAATTTATTCTAAATTTCATTTTAAACCGGAGTTAACCATTTAAAAACGTTGATGAGGTCCCATGACACAATTATGTCTATGAGTTGATAAATAAAACAACGTCAGCCAATCAGAGGACGCGTTCCATCCAAAATTAAATTATCAAGTATATTTTACCTACAATCAACGCTTAAACATTTGCATTAAGTCAAAATGTTTAATAAAGGAAACTTGTTCAGTCGCAGCAATTGCAGGCGTATCATTGTAAATATATTCTATTATATTTTAAAAATAACATTACATCACGCATATATAACCACAAAACAGTTACTGTATTAAAATTGCTTTCTTCATGTGAATAGGACAACCAGTATTTGTACAGGCTTCAATCATGGAAAATAGAAATAGGATTCAAATAGAAGTAGACTTTTACTCTGTTCCATAACCAGGGGAGATAACCTGGTTCTACAAAGATGAAATTGTTAGTACAAATGTCACATCACAATCGGTAATAGTCAAAACCATTAACATCACACTTTATAAGAAGAAAATGCTTGTAAACGGATATACTGCAAAGATTAATGCAAAACACAACAATGTCCCTCTTACTGATATGTTGAATTGTCAAGTTCAGAACATCTACGGTGTATTAGACATTTCGTTTGCCGATATCACATTTTCAAATTCAACCATGTTTGATGGGGTATGTGAGGACCGGAACACTAGATGGAATAACTGTTAATAAGAAAATCGAATAGGGTAATAGAAACAAAAACAGCGTCAAAGGTAAATTAAAATTTTGATTAATTGACGATAAACAAATGATTAATTGAATTTAAAATCCAATCCCTTATCATAAAATCTATGCAATAATGAGACATTCAATGTTCTTATTGTATTTTCGGAGGAAAGAAAGTACGTATCACTTTTGTCTCAAATATAAATTGCTAAATCCTTAAGTTGTTATTAGAGAAAAACAAACCAACTTGAAATACATCCTTACGAACATTAAACATACATACAGACAGACACATTTGTTTCTTGATACTTGTATTTATCAATAATCGGGCCGTTGTTTTATTTTCTCTCTCTTTCGAAATGTTTGATATTTGTATGTTCAAGACCTTCAAGTGATTCATTGTGATTACTGCTTGTTTACGTCCTTGTCTTTAGACAGTGATTGGTGTTTGTTTAATTGGCAATTATATTACAACTCCAATTTTAAAAACTACCTTACTCCGTTTTTGTTTAGTTTGCCTTTCAGTAATAATTATCCCACGAGGAAGCGGTGTGTCAGTGTAAGATCATCCCAAGTCCGAATGGGATAACTATTTTACAGCCCAGCTGTTCTACATTAGTTCAAAAGACCATTTACATTTTATAAAATCTAGTTTAGAACACCACACATTCCTTTTTATATACTTTATATATCATTATATAGAATATACCTTTAATGAGTCCCGGACACAATGTTCCAGTATGTTAAATTAACAGTGATTTCGTATCCAGTTGTCCTGGTGTAGGGGTTTGAGTTGTGGGTTGATACGCTAAAGGTCTTGAGTTCGAAGCCCAGCTTAGACACTATATGTTTTCTACATAAATTTTGATTGTTAATCTTTTCCGTATAAATGTATTTATTAAAGTTGAGCACGAACGTGTTTCTATTATGTGAACAATCACACGTGAGTGTGTGTCCGCATAGTGGTCATCTATTGGTGTTTATATTAGATAAACAGGTTTGTGTTTTAAATATATGATATTCCGGATTGGTCAATATTTGTCGCATTGCGTAAATATATTGAGTATGATATTTAATATGTAAATAGCACGGGATTTTTAAAGCGCGAATAGTTTTCTTGTTAAAGTATGTTAAGATATATTGTCATTCGAAGCTCGTAAACCGTTCAGTAAAGTGCAGTTTAGTTTAGGTAAAGACATTTCCGAACCAGTCCTCGAGTTGAATGAAGACGATTTGTTAAGAGACCCCTTGCATAGCAGTCCGAACGTCATAACGTTTCAAATTTACAAGCAAGTCAACAAAACCGTGACTTAGTAGACACTTTTGGGCTTTTCAAAGATTATTTAGATAAAAAACTCGTTGATTTAAAGTCCGACATTCCTACAGTTTTTCAAAGAAATATAAAAAGATATGAAAGAGATGAGGCTAATATTAAGTTTGAATCAGAAGGGAATCGGATTCAGTTTCGTTTTAACGAGAGTATTATGGATGGTCTTAACAAAATCCACAAGGATCTTGTATCTGTTGCTTCCCCCCTTTCGTCTATTACCGATGATTTGGTGGGTAAACTCAAAGAAAGAAATAAACCCATCAGGATTGCTGATAACTCCACTGGGGGATGGGTTACTGTTAAAGAATACGAGATTAATGATATCGCTGACAATGATGAAGACGAGAAAAATATTCGTCAGGCCGAGACTATGGCCCTTAAAACTATCAATGAGAAAAAGATCCGCCCTCAGCCGTATACAGCTAGTCCAACTCCAGCAGTTGAACGTATCGCTACTGCCCCTGCTCCTCCTCCAGCTTACGATTTCAGTCGGTATCAACAGCCCTTTCGTACCAGCACCGCACGGCGTGAGCCGTGCTCCATGGACATCTGTCACTACTGTTAGCAGTATGGTCACTGGAGAAGAAACTGTCCACTCAACTTCAAGTCAGCCACAGCTTCTGCACCAAGTTACCAGCCATCCAAACAGCAATGACCCAGTTACTGTCAATGATAAGTATCTACAGATTTATGTTTTATTTTTATCTTCTAGCTATGAAAGCAATTATGACGAACTAGTCGAATTTATGTCGCAAGTTAATTTTTTTGAAAAGTTAGATTTTTCTGCTAGTCATAACTTTAATGTTGTTAAAGGCAGGTTTGCAAAGCATTACAGATGCTAGTTATGTAGCATGTTGGGTTTATACTGTAGAATTAGAAAATAAGATTTTTCACAAAATTTGGAACGAATTTGAAAGATGTAAAAGCTCCACCTGGAAAAAGATGAGAGTAATTGAACAGGCCTAATTGTCGTTTTATTATGGGCTACATTTTGAAATGGTTTACTGATAACCAAAACTGTGTACGTAAAGTACAAGCTGGAAGCATGGAGGAAGATTAACAAAATCTTGCCTATTCTTTTTTTTTGTATTTGTAAAGAGCAGAATATATTCATTGAATTACAATAGATTCCTCGCACATTGAATTGAAAGGCAGATTATATTAGTAAAATGAGTGATCATGAGGATTGGCAAATTTGAAATGAATTTTTTAAATTTTTTGAAAGTTTATGGGGACCTTTTACTATTGACAGGTTCGCTAGCGTGATGAATAACGAGACAAAAAGGTTCATTTGTTTGTTTGAATTGTTTTACATTTGTCATTTCGGGGCCTATTAGAGCTGAATATGCGGTATGAGCTTTGCTCATTGTTCAAGGCCCTACAGTGACCTATATAGTTTTTCAATTTCTGTGTCAATTGGTCTCTTGTGGAGAGTTGTCTCATTAGCAACCATACCAATGCAAATTTTTTCTGCATGTTTTTATTCATAAAGACAACAAAAAAGGTTTAATATTCATTCGGAAATTATTGTTAAAGTGTATTCGATACAGTTACCACAAAAATCAACAATATAGAAGCCTAGAATCTTTGATTGGTTTTGCACCAGTTAGTCAATATTGAATTTACTTTCAAGTATTCATTGTTTCTATAAATATTAAAACGATTTAGTTTTGAGCTTTTTTCAGGCATCTTTAAAGTTGTGATCCTAGATATTTTAACAATGTATATTTTGTGTTGTTAGAGGAACCTGTTTTTAGAATAGTGAATGAAACGGGCAGATTCCCAACTAAATTATCAAAAGTACATTCGTTATTGGTCTCTAAATGTGTTTAGTTAAGTTTGGGGGTTAAGCTTCTCTTCTGGGTGTGAGCGAAGCTCGAATCCCCATATGGAATTACCTGACCCCATATGTTTCGGTTTAGGTCACTTGCACACTATGCAACGAATTTATCTTACCGACTATCTTAACATGTGGTATTAATTTAGAATAGTGGCATATAAACGTGATCAAGTCTTCAATATCGTTAGTATTAGGAACCTACTTCCATTGGTCTATACATGCTATACAAAAACAAATGGCAACAATTTCAACTTGTAAGCTTAAGATGTGTTTTTTGAATTTATTTCAATCGTTCATTATCAATTTCGTCGTCTGTTGAAACCTTAAATATTTTTTCTGAACACCGTGTTGTTTGTATAAATGGATATAACACCACTACTAACAGTGTATTGAAATAAGCCCCGCCTACTAATATAATATGGAATATACACGGTTTCCACGCGGTTGCTTTTAGCCAATCATATTCCTAGAAATGTATAGGAGGTAAGATAAATTACGTTATATCCTCGTCATATGGTCTCCAGTTGGTCGACCTTAATATATCTTCGTATTTTAATATCGACACCTCTTACATTGAACCAACATCATGTAGTCAATATATTTGCGTGTATACAGTCTCTTTCAAGAACAACATTTGTCTGTTACCAGTGTTATTTTATTTTCTATAATGTATTGTAAATTTTGATAAATAACTAGCTGATGATGTTCGGAATCATAAATTTAGCAGTAAAAAGATCGAAACTCTCTTAAACAAAGTCGATCTAAGATTGTATAGTCTTTTTGGCTTAGTAACCTTTAAATATAATTTAACAATTAAATTACCGCGTATATTTCCCGCTTTTAGTCCAATATTTTTTTGGCAGTTGGTAGATGATACACATTCAAAGCAGTAGATATTTTTACTTTGATGTCAGTCTTATAAAATCTGTATTATGTGCCCTAGTGTCACGAAAAAAACAAACATCAATTTTAGATTTTTATCATATCAATTGTATGTCACTACAATGATGTAATTTAAATGTATGTTTCGACAAAAAGGCTTCTTGAAAAGAAACTACTTACTTTACTTTCATAGCAGATACTCTAATAGGATTTAAAACCGGGTTTAACCCACCATTTTCTGCGAAAAATGTCTGTACCAAGTCAAAAATATGACTGTTGTTTTCATTCTTTTTGTTGGTTAATAAAATCTAACGTTTGATTTTCTCAGTTTTTATGGACTTCCCCAGTTTTTATTTTATCTTGGAGTCAGGTATTTTTGATAATACTTTTTAAACGATCATCAAAAAACGATGATCAGCTATATGTATTTACTATCAGTTTCTATACGATGCTCTCATTTAAAAGCATCAAAATTAAGAAAAAACCGAAAATCTATTATCAAACAATGTTGATGTCATTTGTCCCCAGGAATTGATTTTCAAGATCAAAAAGTACCAAAACACAATTGTACTTTTGATGACGTTTGAAGTAAATCTGTCGGAAATTGCTTTTAATTTCTCACAACAAATCACCGTCCTCTCTAATTGTCAGATAAACCATACGAAGTAGACAGGGAAAACATTGATCAACATGTATATGAAGCAGAACTAGGGAAATCATGTGACGTCTCAATTAAAATTTCAAGTTTCCAGAAGCCATAAACTTCATGGTCAACAAACGCCAGCGGAAAATTTGGTGTATTAAATGCAGAAAAAGACTCGGAAGAAATATTCACATTGTTTTCGACAATTGTTCCAGAAATTAGCAGTCATTTAGGAAGATATAACTTTGTAGTAAGGAAAAATTTAGGAAGTCTTAAACATTATATTGAATTGAAATGTAAGTTGATATTACTGTTTCGATATCTATATATAAACACTTTGAGTTGTTAATATTTCTTTCCCCTATGTTGTATTAGCAGAAAAACGTATTTATCTAACAGAATGCATAGAGTAGAGTAATCAGTTAAACTGTTTCAGGTAGACTAAACTTAAAAAAAAATCAAAAAAATCAAAAAATCCTATTACATTATTACATGACTTTTTTCAATGGGTTATCAGTACCAGGTTGAAAACTATAATTCCATGATCTTTTTATCATTTACTTCAAATAAAAAAAGTGCATATATATTTTATATCCTTATATTAACAGCAACTACGACATTTACACAGAAATATAGTTGCATTGGTAATTAGTTAGTCCAAATAATTATGCCGTCTAGAAAGGCTATTTTTGATTTTGCTGTTACGCCTTCCTACGACGTCATAACGCGGAAGCCATTTTTTCCGTCTGGATTTTCCCAACAATTTCAGCTAATATCTCATATCTCATATATCCTTACATACTTATTTTACTTCTCATAATAAATGTATGAAATAAACACTTACCTTCACTATGGCATATATATTCCAGGTTTATATTCCTTTGAAATACTTAAATCCAAGTGATTTTGCCAGGAGTGCAGACGCGCTTATTGACATCTTGCATCATGGCCGATAAACAATCCCGGCATGCAACAACCAAGCAAGTAAAAATGTGGGGACCATCTACGGGTCAAATATTGTAGATTAGAGACGATAAATTAATCAAAATGTTGTTTTTGATGTAGTTAGATTAAAAATAGCGTATTAATATTGATATAATAAAGAAAATAAAGAGCAATATTGATTCTTCAATTGAAAATCTATACATGATATTGATTGAACTTTTGTTTTTGATGTGTTTAGATGAAGAATGTAACAATAGTGATTGAATTAAGAAAATAATGAACTTATTCAGCCTTTCGCATAAACACTTTAGTATTAATTATGTTTTTAAAAGAAAAGGAAAAATGGAACGTTAATTCAATTTCTAAAAGTTGCAATAAGAATTCATTTCAAAGTTGTTTTATTTATTTCCATGAGTGTATGTGATTGTATGTATCTTGTTTCACATGTGACGGAGTGTTTTTAAATAAAGCATAATGTATTGTTGCATTGTTTAAATTAAAGGTTTCAATATAGTATTAAGCATGGCCTTTTGGGTGTAACGTATATTGAATCCTTTCAAATGATTTTTTTATGTATTCTGTAGGTTTTTTTTTCCTTTCTTTATCTCAGTTGTTTAAAATATTTCGTGACAAAATTAAACCACTGTAAATGCCTTTTATCATTTACGTCCATGGTACTTCGAAAAACTGATGGACTGTATTAGAGTTCTCTTTAAATTGTTTTACAATTTGTCATTCTGGATAATTGTCACAACATGCAAAGTGACAATCAAATATATACTACACCTCCTTATGTTTATATGTCAGAGCATTTACATTAATTGTTGCTATTATTTATCAGCTGTTTATAGACTCTATCGTTGATGACTGATCTTGAAATGAAGCATCTTAATCCATGAGGACCAACCTCAAGAGATGCGAAAATAAAAGTCATAACATGTACCATAGAAGAAGCTTTTATTTCCGTACATTGCTTTGATAGAATTTTGTCGTTTGTTTTCTCAATTGAATTGTTTCATATTTTTCCGATGATATAGCCAACTATACGGTATTGAAAGACGCACGGTTGCCTGTAATTGCCTGCATTCACTTCATTTGAACTTTGGTGGAAAGTTGTATCATTGGCAATCATATCACATCTCCTTATTTGTATATAGATAGCATATAGAATATATATGGTTGTGTATGAACATCAATTATGATATCTACTATCAAACAATACTAAATTCCATGGTCAGGGAGGAAAGTCCAGGAAACTTACCGAAACCAAACGCTCAACCAAACCAACCCACCAACGGAACGTATTATCGTTCTGGTTTTCATATCTTTCACCTTATACCGCAATTGAAATACCGATAAACAAAATTCATTTTATATTACTATTAATACGAAAAAAAAAATGTTACCACATTGACCGATACTTGTGATTTTAAAACTTCTTTAAAATGGTTAATATACAAGGACAAATCACCAATTTTAAACTTTCAGACTCCTGTCATAATTGTCTACAGTGATAGACAGTTTAGTATTACTGCTATAACTTATTCTTGTTTGTGCAGTAGCGCAATAAAATAAAGGTTATATATCAATGGAGACATAGATTTTATTCATTGGCAATCAGGTATTTCCTCTTGTTCAATTTAATGGACAGTTGGACCATTTTTTTTTTGAGAAAAAAATTCCAGCGGATTTCATCTTTTGTGTGTGAACAAACGTAGGAATCTCTGAGAATTTTCTGTCTTTTACAATTATAGTCAGTTTTTCTTTTTTCAAAAGTCTACAAAATGTTACAATAGATATAAGAAGATGTGGTATGAGTGCCAATGAGACAACTCTCCATCCAAGTCAAAATTTAAAAAAGTAAACCATTATAGGTCAAAGTACGGTCTTCAACACGGAGCCTTGGCTCACACCGAACAGTAAGCTATAAAGGGCCCCAAAAATTACTAGTGTAAAACCATTCAAACGGGAAAACCAACGGTCTAATCTATATAAAAAACGAGAAACACTTATGAACCACATCAACAAACGACAACTACTGAACATCAGATTCCTCCATTTTATTATTCCTTGAAAATCGGCTGTCCTCGTGGCAACTGAATACTGGTACGAACTGTCTAAAGTTTGGCCGATTCCACCAGACGGCTGTGCATGTCGAGCAATGACATCGTCTGTCAGCACATTAGCAGATGAACCTATACGATCTGTAAATGAAGAATATTAAGATTTACAGAATAAACTTCTCAAATCATATGAAGTCACTGTCAAGCTGACATTAATTTCTAATTAAAGTACAGAATATGTTTCCCTTTGTTTTTATACGAGATATTTTGGTACAGATATTCATATTCCAATAACAATTTAAGAGACCTTATTGTATACTAATAAGTAAACTATCTAACAGATGTTCTAACTCTTTGGTAGTGTCAAAGTTGAAGTTAAAACTCATTGGCAAAAACAACTTGTTGGGAAAAAAATCACGTTCCTAATTTAAATACAGACACCATTTTGTGTACGTTGCTTGCATGTGTTACATACTTTTCAAAACTGTATCTGCCTTTTATGACATTTATATTAACCTTTTCATGAATTTTACACTATGCTTATTTACCCGTTGCATCTGTATAACAATAATATAATTTCTTTCTTTTTACTTTAAATACCGTTAAACATAATTCATTTTGTATAACCATTAGTACGACCAAATTTTGACCACCTTGGCCGATAGTTGTGAGTTAAGCACTATTTTTAAAGTGTATCAACTTGATAACCATTTTTATGAAATATTGATTTGGTTTGTGTTTCTGTGTATATAAATGTATAATAAAACATTGTATGCACTTTAAATTCTCGGTTCAAAAACTCATTCATGAGATCCATTTCTAGGTTGTGTCCTGCAACTCCTCTGTAATTGACCGTCCTATTCCATATAAGGTCGTTTTGTTGTTTCTCTGGCAACCAACCATTGATGCCAATGAATTGTGAAAAAAAGTAGAAGTGCTTGTTTGGTTTGCTATTATTGTTTGTTTATTTTGCTTTTTGTTTTAGTTGTGTTATTTTTCTTTTCTTCGTTCTCATTTTTTGTTTACTTCTGTTTTTGTCTTCTTCGGAAACTTACTTTCAATTGATCAGTATCATAACGGGGGCCTATATAATGAGTAATAAACGAGCTAATGTCTTATCTATTGCTGTCCGTCGTAAGCAAACTTTTTTCAAGATGTCAAATTAATAAAGATTGTTATACCTAGACTACTCCATGACCAAGATTTTTAAAGCCGGCAATTCACAAAGTCAATTAAGCTGCTGTTTTATTACATTTTAGGTGTGTGTGCCGTATACAGTATTACTTACACATAGACACAAATGCAACTGGACAACAAAGGTGTTTCTTGATTTAGGTGATTTGTTTATTGAATAAGCTGGTGCTTTTACTTTTAATAGTTGCTTATCATAAACAAAAATTGACCTTATACGATATATAAATATATAGAATTACATACTAGCAAGAAGTTTGTGGCCAAGAATAAGGTATTTGGGATGATGGTGTTGGTGATATTGCAGCATGTCATGGCGCCAAAAACTTATCATAGCTGGTCCGTCATTTTGCCTGATTGCGTCATGCCTAACCATCTGGTTCAAGCCGTCCCACGCTATCGATTTAACATATTCATATTCATGGTCAATACCGACCGACCTGGTAGATTCATGTCTGCAAACGTTAGAACAATACCAAACTTCATCTATAAGAAACATATAACTTACAATTGAGAACCAACTCATATAAGCAAAGAAATTAGTGGTAGATAGAAACGTTACAACTAGAGATATTATTAAAAAATGTCCAATTCCAAACTATTGAAATAAAGTAGACGAGTTGATGAAGGAAAAAAGCAGTTTTTCAAGAAACTCAATTGTACAGAAAATTTAGACCAAGACAATATAGAAAAAGATCTCTTGCAAATTCTACAATGCTATACACTCAATCTAACGTGAATTACCATCAGCCGGCAGTTCGGGCAAGTTTACACAGGACAAGTGAAACCATTCGCCTCGTTTACATTCACTGTTCTCACAACCGACCATAGGTTCATCTTCATTTGGAACGTCGGAATCTGAAATTTAGACTGACAGCTACGTTTCTGCTTATTGGAAGCGAAGAAGTGTACATTAAAAAATCCTTATAGAATCATTTTCATAACAGCGTGGACGACCGCATAACTTATGTTGGTAATAATACTGAATCATTTACCTTTAACTTGTTTTTAAGTGTTCTATGTTGTGTTTTTGAGTTTTATTGTTTATAGATATAAGAAAATGTGTTATGAGTACCAATGAGACAAATCTCAATCCAAGTCATAATTTGTAAAAGTAAACCATTATAGATTAAAGTACGGTCTGTGCGGTGTTTGTCTGTTTGACTTTTCCTTTTTTAGCCAGGGCGTTGTAAGTTTATTTTCGACTTATGAGTTTGAATGTCCCTTTGGTATCTGTTTCCTCTCTTTTATCAATATATCATATTTTATCTATTCTAAATTCAGATTACAAGACATGATCAAAAACAAAAATACGAATTTATATGTACTGCAAGACACAATTGAACTTATTTCGTGTTTATTAAGCCAGCGTATTATTTATCTTTTTTTGCAGATGAGACAGTCCCAACACTAAGCATTGTGTTAGTATACTAGTTTTTAATTTAAAAGTAGCATCTTCACATAAGCAGTAACCCTTTCTGATGTTTGAGACGGTAATACTGCTTGTGTCTGGTTCAATCCATAACCGAGACAGAATTTCTTTTGTAATTCTGTCAAGGGCATTCTCAGGGTCGTCTCTAAATTCCTTATCCTTCATGCCAGTTAAACCCAACATATCAACTGCGTGTAAACAGAGGTATGCCTCAGTTACAAAATAGAGAAACTCGTTCGAATGGCTGAAGCAGTTTTTGACTTCTTTTTTAGCACCGCGATGGTTAAAGACATTGCGGAGATATGAAAGCGTCCCCTTTTGCACAGCACTCTTCGGATTCATCAAGGTATCCATCGTATCCAATAATACAATTAAAAAGTGAAAATACCAGTTAAACAACTTTAAAGTATTATTATTATCGTCTTTCAAATGTGATAGATTCGGTGACACTGAAAAAAAAACTATCTCTTAAACCGAAATACTTGTCAATACGACTATAGTAATAAGGATAATACAGTGTTTACTTTTTGGTATGAAAGTGAAAGCATAAAAGGTATACCGCAAATGTATTTCACACAAAAGAGATATGATTGAGATATTTGCCGCTGAAGAGAAAATAAGTGAGACATAATAGAATGATGTACTGAAAAGGTCAACTGTAATTGGTTTATATATACTATGATCTCAGAAATATTATTTTATCTCTTCATTAGGAAAAAAACGGAAGTGAGACCTGCAACAATAACATTCGTTTGTGGAATTTTTGTACGCCAGGCTCAAGTCCCTCTAGTCTGGCAGTGGGATTTCCTCCGTTACATCGGATGTTGTGTGCGTCACTGTGGCGCTCACAAGACAAAGCATCTCCGAAGCTGATAACGGGTTCCATTTCTGGTTGCAATGGAACAAACTTGACGTAGTTTGTCTAAAATTCTTATGACACCTGCTGTTGTTGAAGAGTTTTCATTAAGCACTCCTATCGTTACCTGAAATTTTAATCAGAATATACAGGAATTGTTTCAATAAAAGGACATTTCGTATTTAATGATTTTGTAAATATATTTCATAGTGCAATGACGTTTCCAAATTCCGACATCAAGTGTATCCTAAGCTTTTTTTTTAAAGGAAACATGAGTCTTGTGTACCAAGTTTATATAGATATAGGAAGATGTGGTATGAGTCCCAATGAGACAACTCTCCATCCAAGTCACAATTTATGAAAATAAACCATTATAGGTCAAGGTACGGTCTTCAACACGTAGCCTAGGCTCACACCGAACAGCAAGCTATAAAGGGCCCTAAAATTGCTAGTGTAAAACCATTCAAACGGGAATATTGTTATAGTCTTTCTTAATATTAATTTTGATTTCAGTGTTATGAAACTGTTTTGTACAACATATTTCAGACCAAGATTATTTATAACTGACCTCGGATGATCATAAGTTTCACGCACGCGATGTTTTATATATAAATACGAATACGACTGGTTTTTCGTCAAATGCATTTGACGAAAGTCTAAATACACTATTGTATACACCAGAGACTTCATTTTAGACGTTAATCTTACTATTTCACTTTTGTTAGTGCTCTCGTGATATTTGTCGTGCATAAAAGGTTCATCTGCTTTAGATTTCTGTTTTCTGAAGAGGTCAAGATATCTAGAAACTATTCGTTTAATGATGACTTCCAACCTCTCCTTCAATAAGTGGAAGTTAGAGGGGGGAGGAATAAACTTTTCCACTGGTATACAGGAAGCCTGGATTGTTGTTTTGTCACGCAAGGTAACAGTGGGGATTCGGTTCTTAACCATGTAGGCAAGAGCCCATAGGTTCAACTTGTTATCACTCTCCTGTGAATAGTGTCTGGCAGAAGTATATTTGGCAACGTTATCCCAGCAGAGAGTGTAACCTGTAAATACGATAGCCATTTAAAAGTTGGAATTTGCATGATTTGTACACACTTTTTTTTATAGCTGAATCTATGAGTTTTACTTTGTTGTTGGCTTGCTGTCTTATGTTTACATCACATTTTTCTGCGGTCCGATTCAATTTTTTAGTCTCAGGTGCTTGAATTTCTTTATGTAAGTTGTTATTGGCTTTAAACTGTCTGTTAGTATGTGAAAGAACATTTTGATTTGTACTTAGTGTCTTTTTTATTGTAGTAATGTATAAGTACTCTGCCACGTTCATTCTGTGGTTTTGTAAGATGTATTTCGGCTAAGTATCGGTCTGATGAGTCAATTATACCACACCCTCCTATATTTATATTTTTAAGTCTATCTAAAAAATGCAGATTTTCAAAACCTTGTCAATTTCATATGAAGTACAACAGAGGACAATTTTATTTAGACGTAATATATTTGCCTGCGGGAGGTTCTGGTGCATCAACAATAGAAGTAACTCCATCCATTGTTAAATCTAGGTCAACTACCATCTGAATAGCATCATCGTTTTCATCATTATCTTTTTTATTTTCCAAATACACCTGCAGGATGTAGCTTTAATAGTACATAGACAAATGTACTTGCGTATGATCAATGAAATACAAAAGTAAATATAAAATACAAATAAATTCTAGAGATTTTTATTACTGTACATATTTAAAATTATTGTAATTAACTATCTCGTTTTTCAAATTAAAAGATGTCTAATGGTTATATATTTATATTATGTTCGATTGATATAAGGAGTTTAATTTGAGGTTGTATAGTCAGTCCATCCGCTCAACATTTACTGTTAAATCTCCCATGAATGTTTATTATCCAATGTTGTCTCACTGTTTGTAAATATTCTAACAAATAGTAAATCGTGTTGTCGATCATCAATTACCAATGTTTGTAGAAAGGCTTTTCTAGTAATTTTTTGATAAGTTGGAAAGACACAACAGTTGAAGAGGTTAACGATGAATTTCGAAGTGTACAGCTTTAGTCGATGCAAGATTGTGCGAGTGTTCTTTCTCGCCCCTTATCCCCATTCCTCTTATGTATGGATAACCTCAATTTCATTTTTCAACTTCACCAAGCTATTATCATATTCTTGTCTTAAGGAGTCTATTCTGGCAACAGTTGCTTTGTGGCTCAGGGAAAGTCCGAGATGGTTAACATCTCTGAAAAGCAGCAATATAATTGCAGTACTTAATAAATGTTAGTATCGAATACAAGGGTTAGTAAGTAGACTAAGTGTTGGTCTATGTTTGATGTCTGTGATATTTGTGTTTCGTAAATTGAATTGTATAAGAGTAGGCCTTTTATAGTTGACGGTAGGAGTCATCTATGTTTCCTTTTTTCCCCGTCATTTGAAGTATGGTAGAGATTTTTGTCTTATTAGCGTGAATACTATATCTCCTTTTTTTTTAATTATATGAAAGAAATTGTCATCAAGTTATAAGCTTATGGTATATGATAAACTATTCTAGTATTGTTTTATTTTACCAGAGATTTCTAGTGGTAAAAAGGAAATCGTTCGAAAATGTACTCTATTCTTTGCTACACTCAATATGTATCATGATGGTTAGAACTTCAAATGTTTTATTCTTATTCAAAATACATACTGATTGTGAAATACCATGACGCCACAGGTGAATGGAATTCATGCTTTGAAACATTTGGAAACTTCTTGGACATCTTTAGTACAAAATGAAAGAGAAGGCGGTCCCTACTGCAGCTGCTTTGTCTCTAAAAAAATCCAAGTCGTCTTGATTATTTGAGTCCAAATTTTCAATCCACTTGTAGGAATATAGCTGAGTCAGCATAATTTAGTAAAAAAAGTAAAAAAAAAAATCATGTACATGTAGTATATTGAACTGATACAAATTGTAGGTAGTGATTATCATCTATTTTTAGCTTTATTCTGTCCATTGTAACTGATCTATCGTTGATTAAAGGTTACAATGTTGTTGCCCTTTATTAATACAAACAGACTTGGTGCCATCTCTTTAATTTCTCTCAATGCTAGTAGTCTGTTGTTATTTGTGTATTATTGTCATTTTGTTTATCTTCTTTTGTTTCCTATTTTGACATCGGACTCGGACTTCTCTTATACTGAGTTTTACTGTGCGTACTGTTGTGCGTTTGTTTTTTCTACATTAGCTAGAGGTATATAGGGGGAGGGTGGACATCTCTAAAAACATGTTTTAAAGCATGACATTGTAAACTGCCAACACAAAAGCATTGATAGAAAAGCTTATTCATATGACAGGACGACTGTCAATGAATATTGAATTTTCCTGAATAGCATTTTAACATTTTATTAATTATTCAGAGTCTGTATCTTCTACTGCGAGCCTCCTCTTCTTGTTAGCCTTCTGAAGAAGAAATAATATATAAATGTTTAAACTCAATTGAGATTTAAGCTTTTAAGCCGATATCAAGTCAAACATTATGAAAAAAATTGTATTATAATAATTAGATTACAGGTATGCCGTTATTTTGATTATGATATAGATTCAGGAAACAGAACTATGTCAAAAACGTTCTAACTAAATAAAAATTCAAAGTCAAATCTAAATCAAAGTGACACTTAGCATTGACAGTAATATTAAACATTTTATGCATATATATCTGCGAATTTCAAATCCGATGTAGCATAAAGGATGGCTATTATGTTACTTACTTAAAGTAATTCATTCTGGGCTATCAAATGGTAGAATGCATTTTGTCCCATCTCCATTTCCATGCATTTTGAAGCCAGAATATTTTCAATGATTATTAAAATTCCTTTTGCACTCTGCTTTAATTTGTCTTCTGTAGTTCTCAAATACCAGATCTATAAATTTATATGAGAATGTAAAATTGTATATTAAAAAGAAACTCTACTTCAAGTAATTCATACACGAATCTGTCTGCAAATTTGTATAGACTTTTTCCGTATGATATTTTTTTCACATTTTACCCCCCTTTTTTACATATACATGCCATTTCATCTTGTTTAAAATATATCTTTTTCACTTTTCCATGATATCCTAATGTTTAATTATAACACTGCATACATATAATTTAAAGAAGTAGCGTGTTCAACTTTTTGTGATATTTACTCCTACAAACTATTCAAATACAGATTTTGTTTTGCCAAAGTTTTGCCGAGGACAAAAAAACAAGATTCAGTCGAGTCCGTATATCAATTACGATTTTTTAAAATTACAACTTACATGTTTCTTTCTCTGTGAACTGTGATTTTCTCTTTTTAGTTTTCTTTGTTTTCACTGCTTTCGGAAGTTACAAATAGACGACAGGAAATAACCTCAAAAATGACCATCCCATTACATTTAGATTTTCTATAATCTTAATTACCATAGCAACTATCTTTGAAATGTGTCCAACATCTGGTTAACCTTATCAGAATGTGTTTGATTAACAAAATGGTTGTATCAAATATCACTCTGTATATATTTGTTTATTATGTTTCATCAATTAAAGTTGAACGAAAAAAGTTATAATGATACACGATTGAAATGTTCCTCAAAGGTTAAAATTATCAAGGAGATTATCTCATATAACCTCTTTGGAATTAATAAAGCGCTTCTATAAAAATGAGGAGTCATTCATGTTAATGTGATATCTAAAAAATATTTCTTTTCCATATCAAACACTTGCTTCACTCAAATATTACTAACAAACATTTGACAAATATTTTTGTCATACATCTTACAAATATCTAGAAGACATATTATGTTAAAATGTTTATAAAAGGGTCTTCAACTAATATTTTCTAAATAAAATCGAAAAAATATTTTGTTAAGACGTTATTTAAATATTCATTAGATATTACCAGCTTATATTTTTAATTAGGACAAGAAAATTATTTAGATGTTACATCAAAAAGATATTTTATTATACATCAAACCTATGCTTAACGCAGATACTAATCAAAAATGTTTTATAAACATTTCTTTTACACATCTTACAAATATATATTATAATTAAAAACCAATTGTTCAAAGAACAATTGAAGGTCTTTCCACAACAATTTTCTAAATAATTGATGAAAAGATAATTCTGGTTTACTCAAAGCTACTATTGGCGTCCAATCATAGGTTTCATCATACTGATTCAATAAACATGGTTTCTATAGACTTTTGCCTGAAATAAGGGAGATAATTGTCAACATCCGGTTTAGAAAATGTCACTTCCGGTCTCATATGATAGCTTTATTTACACTGATTCCAAAAATATATGGTTTATATATACTTTTGCCTGTAAAAAGGGAGATAATTGGCTACTTCCGGTTTAGAAAATGTCACTTTCGGTCTGATATGATAGCTTTATTTACACTGATTCCAAAAATATATGGTTTATATATACTTTTGCCTGTAAAAAGGGAGATAATATGCTACTTCCGGTTTAAAAAATATCACTTCCGGTCTCAAATGATAGATTAATGTATGACCATTCAAAAAATATATGGTTTCTATGTACTTCTACATGAAATAAGTGCAAAAAAAAACTACTTCCGGTTCACTCAAGGTCACTTCCGGTTTACATTTTTCAAGGTCACATGTCACTTAACATTTTCTAAAAGACCGTATTGCTTTATCATGTACCAATCTGAAGTAATAATCAATTTGCCTAAAAATAAAACATTTCTGGGGCAATAACTCCAATAAGATGTCGCTGGATTGTCTCAGACCAAATGTATCATATCTTCATCACAATATAACAAGCATTTTGCACTTGTTCTTTAATATATAACATTAAAAATATCGGAGAAAATGCAAAAACAAGCAAAAGACAAAATTCAGAACATGACCTTGACCTTTGACCTTGACCTTATTTTCGAAGTTAGGATCCAAGGACCTTAAATAAAAAGACTATAGGTTTATACGGCTTACAGTTTATGAGTAACAAAAACGTAACGACAAATTTATTTGATAAAGGAAGATAACTCCTATAAAATTTCATCGAATCGCTTCGATCCAAATTAGCCAAAAATTCCTGAGGATGTAACGAACAATTTGTAAAAAGAATTTTGTCGATATCTTTTTTTGTTACGAAGGAGATGCACACAGATGATAAACAGTTAATAGGGAGATAACTCTTACAAAAAAAATGGTTCGGCTTAGCAGGGTGAAATTTAAAAGCGCATAAACTATACGATACAATATGAGAAATATCTAAGCGACATATTGCGAAACAAACATTTATCGCAAGAACAAAATTTGGCGGAAGAAAAAAAAAAAAAAAAAATAATAATAATTAAAAACCAATTGTTCAAAGAACAATTGAAGGGTTTTCCACATCAATTTTCTAAATAATTGATGAGAAGATAATTCTGGTTTACTCAAAGCTACTATTGGCGTCCAATCATAGGTTTCTTCATACTGATTCAATAAACATGGTTTCTATAGAATTTTGCCTGAAATAAGGGAGATAATTGTCAACATCCGGTTTAGAAAATGTCACTTCCGGTCTCATATGATAGCTTTATTTACACTGATTCCAAAAATATATGGTTTATATATACTTTTCCCTGTAAAAAGGGAGATAATTGGCTACTTCCGGTTTAGAAAATGTCACTTTCGGTCTGATATGATAGCTTTATTTACACTGATTCCAAAAATATATGGTTTATATATACTTTTGCCTGTAAAAAGGGAGATAATATGCTACTTCCGGTTTATAAAATATCACTTCCGGTCTCAAATGATAGATTAATGTATGACCATTCAAAAAATATATGGTTTCTATTTACTTCTACATGAAATAAGTGCAAAAATGACTACTTCTGATTCACTCAAGGTCACTTCCGGTTGACATTTTTCAAGGTCATATGTCACCCAACATTTTGCAAAAGATCTTATGGCTTTATCATGTACCAATATGAAGTAATAATCAATTTACCTTAAAATAAAACATTTCAGGGGCAATAACTCCAATAAGATGTCGCTGGATTGTCTCAGACCAAATGTATCATATCTTCATCACAATATAACAAACATTTTGCACTTGTTCTTTAATATATACAGTCCGTGTAACGTAAAAGTTAACAATACGAACGATGCCCGAATCATGTACGGACGATGCCCGAACGATGTACGTACGCTTCCCGAACGGTGTACGAATGCAAACGAAACGCTGACCGAACGTTGTACGGACGCTGACCGAATGTTGTACGAACGAAACCATGTACCATAAACCATACCATAAACGATAACATAAGCGCCCTTTTATCGTACATCGTATGGTTTTGCATACATCGTTTCGTTTAGCGTATACCGTATCGTTTAGCGTATATCGTTTCGTTTCGCGTATATCGTATCGTTAAGCGTACATCGTTTCTTGACGTGCATAGTTTCGTTTAGCGTACATGTTTTTCTTTAAATATAAAACATGAATTGTGTTTTGTTAAATCTTTTTATATACCCGGTAGGTGATAATAGGCGTAAAATTTAGATTGGATGCATATTTCAGTTTTAATTAATCATTTAGTAAATCATAATTTAATCTGACTCGATGTTGATCCAAAATTATTCACATAAAAAGTTTGAAAAAAAAACACTGAAATAAATTGAAACAAATTAAAAGATACGATTATGAATTTTGTTAGCCGTGGAAATACGTAATTGGTGAATGTGCGCGTAAACTACAGTCTGCAGGGTATTCAGACAGTTTTTGAAAATAGTCTAAGGTATTAACTAATCCAGTCGTTATATTACGATCACTACGATCACTCCGAGAAAATTAGTGGATAGAGGGCGCTGAATTATTCGAGTTAGGTACTAACATTTTTTTTTTGGACCTAAATGAACAATTTATTTTAGATGGAATTCGGAATTAATCCAATGTTCTTACAAAAGTATATTCGGGCAGGGACTTTCTATACTTAGTATAGAAAGTCCCTGATTCGGGGTCTTAAGGTTGACCTATTGTTCAAAAGGTTCAATTATTTTTATGTATTCTCTTCTATCGCATGTATTTTAACATCGACTGAATAAAAGTATATATCGTAATTAAACCATTTTTTTTAGATTATAGATATATTTTTTATTCATCTATCAAATCAGTCGAAAAAAACAATTTATTCGAGAAATTTCAAATAGAAACAATTACCCGTTATGTGCCTCCAGGGACTTTCTATACTAACTTTAGTATAGAAAGTCCCTACCAATGTACAAACGATTGTGTATTATTTTTACTACAAATGCACTTTAAACAATCATCAAAAAAGAGCGTGTCCGGCAAATGAAAAATTCTAATTCATAAGTGAAATTATAATTTAGCGTTTCATTTTTGTATTTTCAAACAACAAAAAACTAGACCATTTCCCTCTATTCTTTAATTTTCTAAGACCATTGTCCTCTATTCTTTATTTTGCCCGTTATATTCTATTCTTATTTTATATTTGATTGCTTTATTTTCCTGTATCTATATATATATATATATATATATATATATATATACCTCCTTTATTCGGAGCAACCCCACCCTAAATATACATATGATACACAGTGTCTATAGGTCATCGCTTGTGCCGTGATACACATGTTTCCATAACAAAAGATATCCTTGTTCATATTATAACATTTTAAATGTCCTCCTAATAATACATCTAATAGTTGCCACTGGACGTTTAACAGCTAACTATAAATTCATCCGTCATATTTTTAGTTTTGTTATAATGTGTTAATCAAACAGCATAATGAAACAATTGAAACTGTGAACTATTGAAATAATGGGAAATAATTGTAAACAAATCCACTAAATCACATCCATACGACACAAAGTCTAGTATTTTCACATGTAAATAAATTGTTTTCGTTAATCTATTTCAAACTATTTTAAATCAAACGGTCATTTTACTAATTTGCCAAAAAAAAACCCAACCAAACAGTTATTTTTATTTCTTTTTTTAAACAGTATTCGAATAAATCATGTTTTATTTATGAAAATTTCGTATTGCTGACGAATGTTAAA